GGCGCCAAGCCGAGCTTGCGGTTTCTTAATGAGGCACCATCAACGGTATTTCAGAGCCTAGAGCCCGCCACCAGCTTACAACCCTACCCAGGGTGAGCAGAGGCACCTGTCCTGGCTGTCCCACCACGTGGGGCAGCCCTCGGTCTTAAAGGCCTTACCTCGCCCCGGGCCGGTTGGAGGTCCCAATGTCCAGGGGCACCCCGATGAAGGCAGCGTCCAGCCCCTCGGGGGAGGCCTGCACGGGCAGGCGCATCATGGAGCAGACGCCTACCGAGCGGGCCACGAACTCGGAACTGAGGGGCTGGTTCCGGGGGGCGTCAGAGGCATAGCCGCGCCGCGGGTCGCAGAGCCCCGCGGCTGGACGCGCGCTCACCCTGGCCCCCAGGCCTCGGGCACAGACGGACACCAGCAGCCGCCGCATGCCGCCCGCGGGTCCGCGAGGAAGGCCTGGCCGGGCCCCGGAGGCCACGAGGCGAGCCAACCAGCAAGAGATCTGCCCAGGCTCAAAGGGCAGGGGCGCTCTGGGGAGCCACGGCGGGGGAGGGGCCCCGCGACCGGCTCTCTCCCTCACGCTCTCCGGACTTAAGCCTTGGCCTTTGGTAAGTAGAGCGGGAGGGGGGCGCCCTGCACCTCCCAACACCTGGCCTTTGGCACCCTCTTCTCCCATTCGGGGTAATATTTTTAAAGTAGAACGATCTGAAGGAAAAAGTACTTTGTCCTAGGCAGAGAAATGAAAAACACCTTTTTCCTTTTTTTCCCTTTTTTTCAAGTAGCCTGGGGGCGGTGCGTGTGGCTCAGTGGGTAGGGCGCCGGCCCCATATAGCGAGGGTGGCGGGTTCTAACCCGGCCCTGGCCAAATTGCAACAAAAAAATAGCTGGGCGTTGTGGCGGCTCTGTCTCTTAAAAAAAAAAAAGAAAGGAAGAAATGAGTGAGACTCTGTCTCTTAAAAAAGAAAGAAAGAAAGAAATGAGTGAGATTTTGTCTCTAAAAAAAAAAAGAAAGAAAGAAAAAGAAATGCCTGGGACAAATGATGGCTCTTTTTTATTTTTATTTTTATTTTTATTTTTATTTTTGAGACAGAATCTCAAGCTGTCATCCTGGGTAGAGCACCATAGCGTCACAGCTCACAGCAACCTCCAGCTCTTGGGCTTAGGCGATTCTCTTGCCTCAGCCTCCAGAGTAGCTGGGACTGCAGGCGCCTTCCATAACGCCTGGCTATTCTTTTTGTTGCAGTTTGGCTGGGGCCACCCTCAGTATGTGGGGCCAGTGCCCTACCCACTGAGCCACAGGCACTGCCCATGTAGTTGTCATTGTTGTTTGGCAGGCTCGGGCTGGATTCAAACCCGCAAGCTTCAGTGTATGTGGCTGGCACCCTAGCCACTAGAGCTACGGGTACAGAATCACTATGACTCTTTCTAAAAAGAAGAAAGAGTAATACCGGTGTACCTATTTGAAGTCTCTGTTGTAAAGCTTAAATGAGACATGGAAGTAAGGGTCTTGTGAGGCATAAAAAACTATGCAAATGTTTTGGGGATTTTTTTTTTGCAGTTTTTGGCCAGGGCAGGTTTGAACCCACCACCTCCAGTATATGGGGCCTACGCCCTACTCCTTTGAGCCACTGGTGCCACCCCTGCAAATGTTAATTGTATGATGGTAATATTGCATATTAAAAATTTATCTTAAATAAAAAAATAAAATTAAAATTAAAAAAGGAAAGCGGCAACGCCATAGCACAGTGGGTAGGGCACCGGCCACATACATTGAGGCTGGCGGTTCGAACCCGGCCCAGACCAGCTAAAACAACAATGACAACTGCAACAAAAAAATGGGTGTTGTGGCGGGTGCCTGTAGTCCCAGCTACTTGGGAGGCTGAGGCCAGAGAATTGCTTAAGCCCAATAGTTTAAGGTTGCTGTGAGCTATGATGCCA